CAAGACTTATATGTATATATATATATATAAGTGCTGTACTGTACTGTATGGATTTTATTATAATTAATCGTACCGTACAGTTCAGCTGATCGTACCGTACAGTTTGTCTATCTACCTCAATATCAATATCAATATCAATAATATAAAAAACGTACCCTATACTTAGCGCATAAGAGCTAACCAAATTAGTAAAATTTTCCTTCCTTTCCAGGATAGTACAATTAGCAGAACAACCAATCACAAGGAATATCACTATTAAAATGAAGATCACCTGATATTATTAACTATATAGCGTGATCTGTATATGGTGTCAAATAGTAGCAGAAAAGATTTTTTTTTTAGTATTATTTAACAAAATGCATAATATTAAATAAACCAACCAAAAATAAAAAAAAAACTAATCAAATAAGATTTATGTTTCAGTATGAACTGAAAAAGCGAAAAAAAAATGATTATAAAACTTGGTATTGAGCTAAAAATCAAAATAAAAACAAAATAAAAATTTTTTTTTGCGGTTTGAAAAAAAACCAAAAAAAATCAGAAAAAAAATCAGAAAAAATAAATAGTAAAAAAAAGAACAATATTAAAATAAGTATTAATATATAAGTATTAATTATATTAAAATTTAAAAGGTGAAAAAGCAAAAAAAAAATAATGAAAAAATAGCGCTTGCCATAGCACCGCAGCGTCAATCTGATCACTGATCCAAATCTTAAAGGAAAAAACAACAAATAAAAATGGAAAGAATAAAGAAAAAGAAAAATAAATTAATTAAAAAAACCAAAAAAAAATATTAAAAATCCAGTCTTAAAAGAACCAGAAGGAAGGGAAGAAAACTTTTAAAAAACTGAAGAGAACAAAAGAAAAATTTTTAAAAAAAGAAAAAGAACCAGTCTTTAAGAACGAAAAAAAAAAAAAACAATAAATCTGGTTTCAAAAGCCGGAAAAAGAGAAAAAATAAAAATAATAAAATTTGAAAAAATGGTTTTAACCATTAAAAAAAAAAGTTTTCAGCTTAATAATAAAAAATAAATAAATTCGGTTTACCATTAAAGGAAAAACCAACGGGAAAAAAATCAAAAAAAATTTCTTTAACTATGAATGAGCTTATATGAAAGTTTATATTATTATTCTATACTTCTGTTAAGTTAAATAATTATACCATAATGTCAGAAATTGCAAAATGTTTCTTTTAACTGAATTTATTAGTATAATCTCTTGATAAGAATTTTTTATAAATTTTAAGGTATCACACTTCTTACACCATGATGCCTATCGAGATTTTAAAACTTCTTGTATAACATTAATATAATTCGTTCTTCTTATATTTCATTAATTTACAAATATTTGCATCGACTATTTCTTAACTATTTGGAGTTTAGTGTAAATTTCGCGTACTAACCTTATTAAAAACCCTTGTGTACAGCTATTGATAGTCTTCCCTGACCTCTATATATATATTTCCGGTCCACTTTGAGTTCTGATTTTGAATTCTGGGTTTCTAAGGAGGAAAAAAAAGGGATGGCTATATTAATCTTGTTTCGCTGCAAAATTACATTTCTTGTTTATGTAAATGACGATTTATTTAACTTTTAGTTACTTTGAAACTATAGTATCCATAATTCCATATAACTTGTGATATGTAATGATTTTGGTTTATTCACAATAGTAAATAGGAAAATTACACAATGCTTTACGACTTAACACAAAATTTTTAATGATTCGTAAAATTTTTAATGATTAGTAATATTTTTAGTAATTGGGTTAAGAGTAAAAAAAAAATTTCAGTCATCTTGTTATTCAAATTTGGTAATAAAACACAGTCATCAATGGCATCATGCATGATTTTTTTTTCGGATCAGCTTCCGGATCAAGCTTCCATCTCATCTTCTTATTTCCCTTAAAATAATATATTTAGCTAATAATGACATAATAATTCGTTCATTATAAAAGGTCAGCCTTAAATACGAGCTTGATTATTGAGTTATCATAGAAAAATTTTATTTTATTTTCTTAAACATAAATAAATAAATAAATAAAAAACTAGCACGACAAACATGGAACTTCAAACTGTTCACAGAGCAATAGGATTATTAGATACTATAGAAATTTTGCAAAATGCTATTTTACGTCTGGCTATTGATAATTTTTCTCAAGGAAAAAGCAAAGATCGATTTATTAGTGAACATAAAATTCTAGAGAATTTCTGTGATAAGAATAAACATATTGTTCATAATATAAAAAAACAAGAGAATTTAACTCTAAATATTCAACTTCGGATATCAATATCAAATTTACGAGTTGATATAAATGTACCCACTGGAAGATTCTTGTTATGTCGAGTGATTTCTAAATTTATAAAATTAAGTGCCCTTTTAGCTCTTGTAGAAGATCCAGAGGGTAATGTTGAAAGACTTGCTTTGTATAATTGGACAAAGATTCCAAAACAAAATCAATCAAATACTAAATCTATTGATGAATCATTTTTACCAATTGGAACTTTACTTGTTATCAAGAATATATCTTATAAATTTGCCACTGGTAAAATACCCATAATTCGTTCTAATAATCCTGATGATGTTATCATCATCGATCATAATAACAAGTTGTTTAATGATATAAAATGGTCCACAAATAAAAAGATTGTTGAATTAAAGACTGTCGATGATTTCCGTCGTCGTGGAAATGATTATTTTGCTTCAAATAATTATATTGCAGCTATTTATGAATATACAAATGGTATCAAATTGGAGCCACAAAATGTTACTTTACTTACTAACCGAGCAGAAGCTTACCTTCGATTGGATCAATTTTATAATGCTCTCAAGGATACATATATTGCTCTCACGCATGATCCCAATAATTTAAAAGCAGCCTATCGTAAGGGTAAAGCTCTTTGTGGTCTCAAATGTTATAAAGATGCCTCTAATACACTTCAAAATTTAAATAAAAGAACAAAAGGTAATAATACTTTAATTAAACAAATTACGGAACATGCAGAAATGTTATCTTATGAAAATAAATATGGAAAATATGACTATTTACGTATTATTGATGAATTCTATGAGAGGGCTAAAATTAAAAAGGATAGTAAGGGTAATGATGTTTGGATTTACGAAGCAGGTCCAAGATTAGATCATGCTGATTTTTTAAATGAAAATATTAAGATTGATCTTATTGAAGGAAAAGGAAGAGGTTGGGTCGCTAAATGTGACATTCCTGAACATACTTTGCTGATGGTCTCTAAACCATTAAAATTAGTTTTTAGTAACGAAGCTATTGGAACTATGATAAGTGATAAATCAAATGATGAAATACCAACTGGTTCATATTTATCTGCTGAAGAATTAGCAATATGTATTACTAAAAAACTTTTTGAAGAATCTAATTATTGTAGTGAAGTGTATCAGCTTTATACTGGTCACGATATTAGCATAAATGAAAAAATGAATAATAATTTAGTGAATATTTTAATAATTGTAAGTGCTATCAAACACAATTCTTTTGGTTTAGGTTATGGAGATTTTAATCTTGAAACTGAATTAACCGGTGTTGGGTTGTGGATCTTACCATCTTTTTTTAATCATGCATGTATTGATGAAAATGTATGCCATTTTTTTCTTGGTGATTTGTTGTTCTTTCGAACTAATCGGCCTATTTCTAAAGGTGAAGAGTTAATCGTTAATTATAGAGATGCTTCATTTAGCTATAAGGCACGATCAAGGTATTTAAAAGCTGTAAACATAGATTGTCAATGTAGAATGTGCAAATTGGAAAGTTCTGAATCACAAGAAATTAAACTTAGAATGGCTCAGTTATTGACAACTTATAATGAATCAATCAAACCAAAAACAAAATCACGTAAGGTTGATCCTTCTCTTATTAAAAAATTGGAAGATATAATTGCTGAATTACGTAACCTTCGAAAAGAACATCCAGATCTAGGATTCAATACAATAGAACTTATTAAAACCTTGGCATCTATTTATAGTAAAAATGGAAACAAAAAAAAGGCTCTTTCCATTTCGAAAGAAACATATGATTTATATAAGGTAGTTCGACCAAAAGAAATTCGTCCCCTCATCCTTAATATTGTAAATCTTAGTTTAGAACTCAATTTGGTTGAAGAAGCTAAGAAATGGGTTGATATATTATTGAAAAATATTGTAGAACCCATAATGGGCAAACTTAAGGATGATAAACCTGAATGGAGAAAAGAAGCATTACTTTTGGCAGGAAAAATCTTACCGGAAGTGAATTCATTTTCTGAAATTTAAATCACCTAATATCTGAACAGAGTGTACAATTACTTTATATTGCTGAAACTTATGCTATGAATATTATAAATCCACAAAATGCAATAGTAGTATACCATTCAAATTTATATATTCTAAATAAATAAAATAAATCAAAATTTTTATATTTCTGCAATTAAAATGATTTTTTAATTGATTTGTATAAATATGTAATATAATATATCATTAAACTTACGATCCTATAACATATATAAGCAGCATATTTGATAGTTGTTTATTTAAATCATATATACCAGGATAACTTCTAATTACATCTATTTTGCATGAATATAATCTTCGAATTTTTATAACTATAATGCTTATACGTACAAAGGAAAACAATTAAAATCCGCCTTTATTTTCATGATATCTATTTTACGGACAGTTACGTATAATCACATTTCATTTTAATTTGTAATATTACAATTATTATTATTACATTCACTCGAAAATGAAAAAAAGCGAGGATCGTTCATAAAATTAAATAATCAGTCCTATAATTAGTTATTACTGTACTTAAATTTTAAGGGAAAGAAAAAATCATTTATTTATTTTAATTTATTCAATGATTTTTCGCGTTCGATAAATTATTTTTATTCAACATACAGTCATTATTTTATTATTACATTTAAATCATAATTCATTAATACAGTAAATAATTTATTTAAATTAAAAAATAAAATTTCTCATTCTATAGTTATGTGAATATGAAGTATTTATCTACAAATATTTTATGTATCAAATGTAACGTATCACCGATAAATATTTATATTCTTAAAATATACTTTAATCACTCGGCCCTATAGGATCATGCTAATTTTATTTAACCGATATTTTCATTATCGTATAATATTGAACTATAGTTTATTTGAGCATGATCTGCATTAGCTTTACGATAATATAGATATTCATGACGTCATAAACCAATATAAATACAACACCGTACAATATCCATAAATTATATAATTATGTAATGAAACATTGGTATTTCGTTAATAAAAAAAATGGCTAAAAATTAAAGTTTTGAAAATCGAAACTTTGGAGAGATCCATTTCCTATAAAAAAGAGAAAGGAAACATTAATAATATTTTCTTCAAAAAGGTTTTTTCGAAAAAAGTAAATCCTGCAAAATAAAAAAAAGGAAAAAGTTAATAAATCGTCCCTCTAACTAAAAGATTAAAAATTTTTGAAGTTAGCTAAAGCTCCAAATTTACCTGATCCACTTATCCTAAAGGTGACCACATCCCTACTAAATAGAATAAAAAAAAATATCAATAAAAAGCATTCTCTAAAGTTTTCAAATTTTTGGTTATTTTTAAAAATTTACCAGTAAAAGCGTGAAACCCCAAAAAAAGTTTTTTTTTGAAAATGATTCTGGGTTTTATCATTATCTATAAAATTTAGATAACGACGAATTTGATTGCCAATAGTCCAACAGCCCAATAATACATAATGGGAACGAGAATTATCGTCTTAGTGCGATCAGCCTGATTGTATAACCACATGGAAATCACCAAATTTTACGATAAAACTTTTTTTGTTATGTCAATTTCTCTATGATTACTCACGTTTTCATAAAATTTTTACTGTAAACTATACACTTACAAAATTATTAGTATAATATTTACCAAGTAAGAGTTGGTATTCAAGCTATGAAGCTTTGCAGATTTCCATTGATTTCTCTTTTATACTTGTTTGAAAGTAAACTTTTTTAATAATAAAGTTTACATTTAAGTTATTAATGATTATAAAGCTATTTGAAGTTTCAATTAATAACTTTAACTTATATTTTTATAGGGTTTTGAGAATACCAAATAGTTTATATTTAATTATATATTTTTTTATAGATTTTTTTTTCGACCAATTTAATCACGTGAATCATTTGGCTCTTTAATATTTATTATTACATGATAAGTATTTCCATATGATGATGCGTTGGTGTGACGATCAAAATATTATTGTATAAAAATAATTTAATAAAAAAAATGGAGATTGATTGATTCATCCCGATGATTTATTCTTTATGAAAAATAATAAGAAAATCTTAACTATCTATTATTTATTTTACTGTATATTTTTACGTAATCAGATATCTGGTGGTAAAGTTAGAATCTAATCAAGTTTTTCATGTCATTAATTTAAGAATCAAAATTTTTTTTATTACGCTATAATTTTAGCAAATTATTATGATGGAATATTACCTCTCACTCAAATAATCTACATTTTGATTTCAAATATTAACGCATGGTGTTCAAAGAAAAACATGGAAATTTTGTTCAATGTTCCAATTTAACATAAAAGAAAAATCTCGTTATGCCGATTTTAAATTCGCATGTCTTATATATAATAACTTTTTTGCTAAAAAACAATACAAACGAAGATTTACAAAGTAAATATTACCATAAAGGAGAATGTAATACAATTTCTATGAGATCATTCTTAATAAATAATTCCACGTAGTGGATGATTTACGTCCTTTATCTTGATTCTCTTAATTAATTATATCATTATTATACTGGGGTTTATTACCAACAAACCTTCTGGGCGGAGGACGTCTTGCCACAAGCTTTAATTCAACAGAATATCAATATACATATGATTTGTGTTCATGGATTGACAATGCGCATAATTTTTAGCCCAACTGCATTAACTTGTTGCTAGTACAAATTTTATTAAATTGTATTACATTACGAAAATTTTTTTCCTCCTAAATATCATTTTAAACAACAATGTCTTCGAAATTTTTGACAGAGTTATCTAGTGATTATGAAAAACTTTTTGAAACTGAATTAGGATACGATGTTATCATTTATGCTGGAGAAGAACCAAACGTTAAAGAAATTCATGCTCATTCTAATATTTTGTGTATCAGGTCTCAATATTTTCGTTCCGCATTTTCTAATGATTGGGCTGAGAAAAATTATGGGAAATTTATTTTAAAGAAACCAAATATTTCGTCTCACTTATTTAATATCATTCTCAGGTATAAATTTATAATATTAATAATGAAAATTTTCTTTGACATTTATTTATATTTTATATTTATTTATAATTAATTATCTTTTAACAATAGATTTATTTATTGTGGAAATATTGAATTAAAGAATTTACAAGGTCCTGAAGTATTGAAACTTTTGATAGCTGTGGATGAGCTTAATATTCAACAATTGGTTTCTTATATTCAAGAATATTTGATCGAGCATCAAACTGAATTTTTGAATCAAAATCCAACTGGTATTCTTGAAGTTATTTATCAACATGAAACATTTACAGATTTATGGAATTTTTGTCTTGAAAAAATTTGTGAAGAACCTGAAATTTTATTTAATTCAGATAAATTTATCAATTTAAAGGCTCCTTTGTTGGAATTATTATTAAAACGAGATGACTTAAATATAGATGAAATTATAATTTGGGAAAGTTTATTAAAATGGTGTTTTTCTCAACAAAATATCATAAATGATCCAACAAAATGGAATAAGGAAGATATTACAAAGATTGAAAGGTCATTACATAGATTTATTCCTTTAATTAGATTTTATGTTATTGAACCTTCTGATTTCTTTTACAAATTTTATTGTTATAAAGAATTTTTGCCTCAGGATTTAATTCATAATCTTTTGGAATTTCATATAGTTCCTAATATGAAACCCAAAACTAATGTAGCACCTTCAAGAAAACTAAACTTGAAATTTAAACTTGATTCAACATTAATTGAATCAAATCACATTCCTTTATTCGCTTCATGGATTGATAAAAAGGATTCCTCTTATAATAAAAATAAGACCCCTTATGAATTTAAATTATTATATCGTTCAAGTAGAGATGGATTTAATGGTAAGACTTTTCATAAAAATTGTGACAATAAAGGAGCTACTATTTGGGTAGCAAAAATTCAAGGTTCAACACAACTAGTTGGAGGATATAATCCACTTGATTGGAATGACTTGAGTGGAAATGGCGTTTGGAAAAAAACTGCAAATAGTTTTTTATTTAATTTTACGGATGGAAAAGATATTTCTACAGCAAAATTAGGTTATGTTAATAATACAAATTATTCTATTTTCTGCTATAATGATTATGGGCCATATACAGGTGATTTATATTGCCCGGGTTCTAATAATTGGATTTGCAATAATGGTAATTGTTATCCTAAGATAGGTATTCCAGGAAATTTTATAGTAGAAAATTATGAAGTATTCCAAGTGATAAGACAGTAAATTTTACTATTTGTTATATAAAACTAACAGAAGTATTTTACTTGATATTCGTTCGTTTAAAGAAATTCTTTATTGTAAAAAGATTTGAATAAAAATAAATTATAAATACTATGCTTTTCCATCAATCAACTTTAAATTTAAGAATGAGCCAATGAGAATATTGCTAATAAAATTTGATTCTCTTAATTTATAATCTGAAGAAGTTGGTTATTTAATTTAAATTTATTTCGAATAATTTTTTCTAAAATTAAAATCTTCGAACATTTACCTCTTCAATTATATTTGGCTATGATACGAGAAATTTTTAATTATTATTTATTTTATTTATTAACTTTGTATGGGTATAAAACTAACGTTATAATTTACAATTTCTTTATATTTTATATTTATTTTAATAAAATATTTAATAACATTTGCAAAATATAGTGGGTTAAATATTAAATACTGATCCAAATATAAAAGCGTTATAAATTTTACTGGAAAAAAAGTTTTTAGAAGATAACCACCATTCTGATAATTTTCGAGAAATATGTAAATGATTTTAAATTTGTTTTTTAATGTATAAAATTCTATAACGATGAAATTTCCTTTTTTTTAACTAGTGTTCCAAAGGGATCGAGTCGGGTCGGGTTTTGAGGTCTATTCGAAGTTTCGAACTTCGACTTGATCCGATTATAGTCTGACTCGGATAACCCGGGTTCGACCCGTCCCTTTCGGAACTCTATAATTTTATAACAAAGAAATATAAATGATTTAACGCAATATTTCTAATATACAACAAGAAACACTTAAATTCACAAGTACAATATAATAAGGTTTATAATGAGATTAACAATGTAATTGACCAATTATCTCTCACTTTTATTCGCCTTATATAATTACTTTATTAATTAACTTGAAAACGATTACATTAAAACCTAAACTTTGGCCAGGACCCGAGCAGATCTGCAACATTTAAATAAAATCATGTCCCATCAAGGCAAGCGACGTATAATTCTGGTCGGAGTTATTCAAAAAAGTAAAAATCTACATGGTAATTCTATCATTATAACAAGAACCGGTCGCACTAATTGCGTAATCGATTTGCTCTTATATTCACGCAGTAAATGATCGACAGTTGCTAAAAATGCTGCATTACCATAATAACCGATCATTTCCTAGCTTATTCGGTCACAAAGTCATGCTGACAGCATGATGTAACGATTGTAACGTTAATTTAATAAACAAAAAGTTTCACAAAATAATTCTCATTAACACTTAAAAAATGTCTTCAAATAATACTTTAAATGATGATGAAAATTTTTTAAAAAATTTCTTAAAAGATTTTTATCGTCAAATTATAAAAATAGAATGTTATAAAAATTTTGAAAATATTTTAATAGAATGGATACAAGATTATTTAAATCATTATGAAAAAAATTCTAAAAAAATTTTAAAATTAATGGAAAATCATAAAGAAAATGAAAATTGGTTTTCAAGTTTAATAGGATTTTTTTATGAAAAAAGTATAGGTTTTGATGATGATGATGATGATGATATAAATATTATTAATAAGGATAATAAATTTTTAAAATTATATTTATTATCAATTAATAATTATAAGAATAAAAATTCAATTTCTTTATATCAATTACTTAATATTATTATTGCAAAATATTTATTATCATTTTATTATTATAAGGATATTATTTTGAATAAAAGGAAATTGATTATAAAGGAGTTAAATGTAATGTCACATAACCAAATTGAAAATTTTTATGGATTAGAATTAAATTTATGTAAAGATGAAATAAATACTATAGAAGAATTTTTTAAGTCATCGAATAAAGATTCTAATGAAAAGCAAAAAGATTATGTTAAAAAGAAAGAATTAGAAAAACTAAATAATTTAGGTTACTACTATCAATACGGATTAGGAAAAATTCAAAATGAATTTAAAGCGTTTGAATGTTATTTAAAATCAGCGGAAGGCGGAAATTCTGATGCACAAAATAATTTGGGATATTGTTACCAAAATGGTATTGGAATTACAAAGGATAAAAGAAAAGCATTTGAATTATACTTAAAAGCTGCTAATGAGGGAAATTTACATGCACAATATAATTTGGGAATTTGTTATCAAAATGGAATAGGGATAGATAAGGATGATAAGAAAGCTCTTGAATATTACAGTAAATCTGCTAAAGAAGAATTTTCATCTGCACAAAATAAATTAGGTAATTATTATCAGAATGAAATTGGAGCAGAAAGAGATTTAAAAAAGGCCATTTACTGGTACATCAAGGCTGCTAAAAATGGAAATAAAATTGCTCAATATAATTTAGGTAATTTTTACAAGAATGGAAAAGATGTAATAAAGGATGAAAGAAAAGCTTTTGCGTATTATAAAAAATCAGCTAATCAAGAATATTTGGATGCTCAATTTGAGATTGGGTATTGTTATGATAATGGAATTGGAGTTGATATTAATAAATCAAAGGCGTTTGAATTTTATAGAATTGCTGCTGAAAGAGAACATACTATTGCACAATGTAATCTTGGAATCTTGTATGAATATGGTGAAGGTACAAAAGTGGATTTAGAAAAATCCATTTACTGGTTTAACAAAGCAGCAGAAAGTGGGAATGAAACAGCCTTATACAATCTTGGTCTATACTACCAATCTGGAAATGGTGTAGAAAAAGATGAAGTTAAAGCACTTGAATACTTTAAAAAATCAGTTGATCAAGGATATTTAAATGCTCAACTTGAACTTGGATATTGTTATGATAAAGGGATTGGAACTGAAATTGACGAAGTAAAAGCATTTGAATTATACAAGAAAGCAGCTGATAATGAACATAAAGTTGCACAATATAATCTTGGAATTTTTTATAAAAGTGGTAAAGGTACCGAAAAAAATGAAAAAAAAGCATTTGAGTATTTTAAAAAATCAGCAGATCAAAAATATTTAAACGCTCAATATCAACTTGGATTTTGTTATCTTCATGGAATAGGAACTGAAACTAATTTTATAAGAGCATTTGATTTATGTAAAATAGCAGCTGAAAATGAACATAGTTTCGCTCAAAATGAATTGGGACTTTTATATGAAAATGGTGAAGGTACCAATAAAGATTTAGAAAAAGCTTTTTATTGGTATAATAAAGCGGCAGAAAATGGAAATAAATATGCACAATATAATATTGGTGAGTATTACGAGTTGGGAAAAATTGTTGATAAGAATGAAATTAAAGCAATTGAGTTTTATAAGAAATCAGCAGAAAATGGACTTATAGAAGCAAAATTTCAACTTGGGTATTGTTATGTAAATGGTATTGGAACTGAAATCAATAAGGAGAAAGGATTTAAATTATATGATGAGGCAGCTGGCAGTAATTTCCAAGTTAATTTTATTGAAAGTGATGAGGTGTTGGTAAATGATTTAGATAAAGTTAATTACTGGTACCATAAAGCTGCGGAAAATGATGATAAATTTGCATTATACAAGTTGGGCGAATTTAATGAATTGGGCAAGGGTATCGGAAAGAATAAAGTTAGAGCATTTGAGTTTTATAAGAAATCAGCTAATCAAGGATTTATTGACGCTCACTATAAACTTGGATGTTGTTATGAGTATGGGATTGGAACTGATATAGATAAAGGAAAGGCATTTGATTCATATAAAATGGCAGCAGAAGGAGGAAATTTTGATGCACAAAAAAGTCTTGCATATTTATATGAACATGGTGAAAAGACTGCCAAAAATTTAGAAAATGCTATCTATTGGTATAAGAAAGTTATAGAAAATGGATGTTTAGATGTTCAAGAAATTCTAGATGTTCTTTTAAAGCAACAAAAAACTCAAGAACTACTATAAATTATTCCTTTACCGCCGATTTAAAATTTTGTATTATTTTTATCAAAATAGTAGTTAACGAATTCGCTTTTAAATTAATCATTTTTTCATTTTTATTCACTCTTTACATTCGCTAATTGTTTATAATTCTTTGTAGTATTTCTTTTTTTTCTATTGTGTCTAATAAATATATGCTTATCCATTTTTTTTTAATATAAAGTCATATTTCCAGCAGATCATCCATCATCCATGACGACCCTAGCATCGCCACCGAAAAGTGGTAGCCGGATTTATTTTCCTGTTACACATGCTGGTTACATGTGATTTCACCATTTGCGTCATTTAGATAAATAATCGATTTTCAAATTAAATATTTTTTTTTTGTAGCTTTTTTTTAATAAACTAGCATATTTAAAAAGGAGAGTCACATAATAAGCCAAAATTATATTTATAGTAAAAAATATTCGCTCAAATTTTAAATCATTAGAGAATGAGTAACGAAATTATACAGTAGTTTTAAAAACCGCCAAACCATAAGGATTTTAATAAGAATACGATGTATATTAGAAGCATAAAGAACATCATAGAGTTAAAATATTGCATCAAATATCAATTCAAACCTATAATTATGTAAAACAAATCTTTAAAATGTTATTTGTAAAAAAAATGAAGCTCAATAATTTTTTAATCCTAAAATTATACCAAAGATGATTATCCAAAATCACATGTAACAGCCATGTATAACGGCGGGCAATATAATTTTTTTTCAAAAAATCCATTCTCTGCATATTCCAATAATTATTACAAGTTAGATGAAAAACAAATACAAATCATCAGATTTTATTATTATTAATTAATATCATTTTTTCTAATTTCCTTGACATAATGATTTTGAATGATCAAAAGAAAATTCACCTTTCATATTATTACCAATATCAAATGTAATTAAAAATATGTAAAGACGACTAGTAATTATATAATGATGATGAATATGTGAATATGTAACCCACATATCATTTCGCTAAATCATTAAGATTAAAAATTATTTAGTAGTTAAATATTTTAATCTTGCAAAAATTATAAAAATTATTGTAGCTTAAAAAGAATTTAAAAACTAAGTTTAAAATGCTATACTGTATATGACTGTACCAAAGTACTAATTTCGTAATTGAGTAAATATTGGATGTCAGTAATTCTCCGCTCTTTTCCGTTATCGAAAAAAAACATACGAAAAAATTCTTTTGCTTTTCGTATTTAAATTTTTTATAATTTATTGCTCGAGTTTGTGAAGTCAAAAATAGACTAATGTTTCACTTTTCGAAAAAGTAGTCTCAAAACTTTTAGAAAGTAGAAGTGATAATGGTGTTTTAAGCCATATATTAATTACTTTTTAATTTTAAAATTGCTACGAATCTCCGGAAGCGATTTTGCTGGCGATTTTGTTATCAAAAAATGAAATGCGTCACATAAGATTCCAAAAAAGGAGTTTTTATGACGATCACCTAATTCCGGCCAAATTTAAAAAATCACGTGACACCGACGAAGATCGCTTTCGGCAATGACCTTTGTTAAACTTATTTGTTATTTGTTTTTAATAAGTTAAATAAACAAAAGAAAATAAGCATTATAAAGTTTCTTTGTAATTTATTCGATTGACAATTTTAGATCTTGGAAGTTATTTAATCAAAATGACAAATATTATTTAAGCAGTATATTCAAACAATATATTCAAGTACTTTATATACTTGATTTGTTTATCTTGTACTGTACTATATTATAGTAGAAGCAGGACCGCCAGGACGGCCATCATTTTATTTCTTAAATTTTGCCGACCATTTGTCAATCATTTATATAAATTTTTTTTTACTTCATTGAAATTTCATATATCAAATTACTACCAAAATTTACTGGAAATCTTATATCAAATTTTAATAAATAGATCTTTATACAAATCAAATCATTATTGGCCAACTTTTATAAGTAACAACCTTTTAATTTTAATAAGCAAAAATTATAATTAGCCGAATTCTTTACAAGTAAAAAAGTGTACTATAAGCACAAATGTTGGTCAATTTTTTTTAATATAAGCTAATGACGATCTAGATTTAAATATTATGAATTTTTCTCCTGTTTAAGTAACTTAATCACGTGCAATGATAAAACCATGGTGAAAATAGAACTCCAGGTTTAGTATAAAGTCAATTCAACATATATATATTGTAATTTTTTTTTATAGATTATGCATGATGCAAAGAATATTTATACAAAGATTAGTTTAAACTTCTTCCGTGTATAACCATCGATTTTTAGTGCCATTATTCGATTTTATCACATAATACATAAATCTGTTATTTTTGCTCCAATTGAAAGATATTAATCTGTCTTCAAATTTTATTCATAAATTTATTTTTTTTTTTAACCAAATCATAGCATTATTGGCCAAGTTTATAAATAGTTTTATTGCGTTAAATGATCGGCAGGTAAATTATTGTGATAGACCATTTGATTGGTCGATTATCATGTGATCATTGATCATTCGTCTGTTCCTTTTTTTTTTGTGCGACATCCATTTTAGAAAACACTCAATTACACAAATTGTTGATCTACTGTAATTAATACGCCCACAAACATAATTGTTTTAACTTTCAATATTTCGTCTGTCTTAGATAGTTTTTTTGTTAATAGTTAGGGAAGCCAGGTTTACATTGTAATTTTTTGTAAGCAAAAAAAAAAAATAATTATTTTAACTTTCATTATTAAAATGTCTGAAAATGAAACTGAATTATTTCATCAAAATAAAAAAGCAGCAGAAAATGGTGAAGAAGTTGCAATGTATAATTTAGCAACTAGTTATTATAATGGAAAAGGGACAGAAAAGAATTTAGTAAAAGCCTTCCATTGGTATCAAAAAGCAGCAGGAAAAGGTTATTTTGATGCAATGAATAATTTAGCTATATGTTATACAGATGGAGAGGGAACAGAAAAAAACTTAGAAAAAGCCTTCTATTGGTATCAAAAATCAGCAGAAAATGGTAATCAATATGGAATGAATTGTTTAGCCAAGTGTTATATTAATGGAATAGGAATAGAAAAGAATTTAGAAAAGGCCTTCTATTGGTATCAAAAATCAGCAGAAAATGGTAATCAATCTGGAATGAATTATTTAGCCATGTGTTATATGAGTGGAACAGGAACAGAAGAGAATTTAGTAAAAGCCTTCTATTGGTATCAAAAATCAGCAGAAAATGGTAATCAATCTGGAATGAATTATTTAGCCATATGTTATAAAATTGGAAGAGGAACCGAAAATGACTTAGAGAAAGCCTTCTATTGGTATCAAAAAGCAGCAGAGAATGATCCATTTATAATGAATGAATTAGCCGAATGTTATAAAAATGGAGAAGGAACAGAAAAAAACTTAGAAAAAGCCTTCTATTGGTATCAAAAATCAGCAGAAAATGGTAATCAATTTGGAATGGATAATTTAGCCATATGTTATAAAAATGGAGAAGGAACAGAAAAAAACTTAGAAAAAGCCTTCTATTGGTATCAAAAATCAGCAGAAAATGGTTATCAATTTGGAATGAATAATTTAGCCAAATGTTATAAAAATGGAGAAGGAACAGAAAAGAATTTAGAAAAAGCCTTCTATTGGTATCAAAAAGCAGCAGAAAAAGGTTATAATGAAGCGATGAATAATTTAGCTATCCCTATAAAAAAAGAAAATTCGGAATTTGTCCTGAAAAGTATGGAAAATGTCCGGAAATTTTCCGTGCGTCCGGAAAACATTTGGAAACGGTCACGTTTTGGAACACTTTCCGGACACACAAATTCCAGACATTTTCTTGACACTCCAGAATTTGTCCAGAATTTGTCCAGAATCGAGCGTCCGGAAAATGTTCCAAAACATGACCGTTTCCGAATGTTTTCCGGACGCACGGAAAATTTCTGGACATTTTCCATACTTTTCAGGACAAATTCCGAATTTTCTTTTTTTATAGGGTATATGTTATAAAAATGGAGAAGGAACAGAAAAAAACTTAGAAAAAGCCTTCAATTGGTATCAAAAAGCAGCAGTAAATGGTGTTGTAGATGCAATGGTTTATTTAGCCATGTATTATGAATATGGACTAGGAACAGAAAGAAATTTTATAAAAGCTTTCTATTGGTATCAAGAAGGGGCAGAAAATGGTAGTGGGTTTGGAATTAGTAAATTAGCCATGTGTTATAAAAATGGAACAGGAACAGAAAAGAATTTAGAAAAAGCCTTCTATTGGTATCAAAAAGAAGCAGAAAAAGGTTATCAATATGGAATGATTAAATTAGCCATGTGTTATGAAGATGGAAAAGGAACAGAAAAGAATTTAGAAAAAGCCTTCTATTGGTATCAAAAAGGAGCAGAAAATGGTAGTCAATTTGGAATGAATAATTTAGCCATGTGTTATGAATATGGAAAAGGAACAGAAAAGAATTTAGAAAAAGCCTTCTATTGGTATCAAAAAGGAGCAGAATATGGGGATGGAAAAGCAATGAATAATCTAGCCATATGTAATAAAAATGGAAAAGGGACAGAAAAGAATTTAGAAAAAGCCTTCTATTGGTATCAAAAAGCAGCAGAAAAAGGTTATATTGATGCAATGAATAGTTTAGCCATATGTTATAAAAATGGAGAAGGAACAGAAAAAAACTTAGAAAAAGCCTTCTATTGGTATCAAAAAGCAGCAGAAAAAGGTTATATTGATGCAATGAAT